GCTTCTCAGACCTGGGCTCTGCCCAGAGACAGATTATTCTGGCAAAGTTTGTACAGAGCCAGTTTTGAGCTGCAAAAATGTGCAGATGGGAGAGTTCTGCTTCAGAAGTCATTCAGGGTATGTCTACACTGCACTTAGACACCCGTGACTGGCTTGTTCCAGCTCAGTCAGGCTCACAGGGCTTGGGCTAAGGGGCTGCTTAATTGCAGCATAGACATTATATAGCGCATACTAATGAATCTCAAGTAGAGACTCGCATTGACAGACAGTTGCAAACTACCTGCCCCAACTATTGCAGGAGCAGCTACCTCATTGTATGAAGCTGATGTAGTGGCCCCTTGCTATAATTTATCCTGCATAAGAAACATTAATCCTGTTCTTCAGGTTAGAAATAACAGATGCTGAAAGCCAATAAACTGAAAATCAAAGCCTGCTTTATATCTGTTAAATCCTGCTTGCTTTAGAGAACCCTAGTTGATTCAGGAAACACCTGCTAAATTCCATCGTTTGGGGCTGTGGTTACAAAGACGTATTTCATTTTTTGAAGTAAATTAGTGAAGGTGATACTTGTACGGGGATCTGTTAATAAAACCAAATGAATGGGTGCAAAAGGGAACATAACACCTGACTGTGAATTCAGGGCTAAAGGGAAATTTTAGCAGTTATCACATTTGATGCAAAAGTGAAGTGGTATCATTTGAGAATCATCACAGAATAACTGGGGAGCGGAAGAGAGAAGCTTCTGGGTTAGAGGGGACCCTGGGGCACACAATAATTAATAATAAAACCTAGCTTTTATCCAGCACTTTTCATCAGTAAATTTCAAAGCGCTTTGCAGAGCAGGTCAGTCTCATTATCCCCATTGTCCCAGGTGGGGAAACTGAGGCACAGAGAGGGGACGTGCCGTGCCGAAGGTCACCCACCAGGCCAGTGGCAGAGCCAGAAATAGACCCCCAGATCTCCCGAATCTCAGACGAGTGCTCTAGCTGCGAGGCAGCACTGCCTCTGTAAAAGTAGAATTCAGTTGAAAATTGGCAGACCTGCCTAGCAGTACTACTGACATCCGTGACAGTTTACACCAGCAGACCACCTGGCCCCTGAGCTCTCATACAGCTGAGCAGCCATGGGTAGGTTTTCTACAGTTGCACATTATAAAATTTCTATTATTCATTTTTTTTTTAAATGAGGGAACCCAAAAAATTTTAAATTCAAAGAACATTACTAAGGCTTCAAAGTCAAGTGGAGAACAGTTAGGAAATGCCAGAATTAAACCTGCCTGTGCAACCTTCACTCTGCCCCCCTTGTGCATCTATAATTACCTGATCGCATGCTGTTTTTTCCACAGGACTCCTGCCTCATTCAGTGCACAGGACAGACTGCATTCAGGTCTGTGCAGCGAACGAGGCTGTTGTCTGTAGCACCCTACCCCATTTGCTGCAGATGTAGGAGTGTGTGTCCGGAACGAGGCACGGGACTGCAGGAAGAAAATGGAGAATCCAGCTCCTTTGCAAGATTCTCCCTGGCTGGGCAAGCCACTTTCACACACATGTCTGCCGGTGACCATTAATTGCGTGTTCTCCATTTTATAGTTGTCTGGACAGGGACACCTCAGGGCTCGTTTTTGAGAGAGCTGAGCACTTGCACTGCAACAGGGTGTCATAGGGAGCTGTGGGGGCTCAGCACTTCTGACAAATCAGCCTCAAGAGAGCTCAAGTTTGGCACCCAAACCTAACCACCAGTTTTGCCCATATTGGCCGTCATCTCTGTGTGCCTCGGTTTCCCCATTTGTAGAATGAGGATCACAATACCACTCACCAGAGAGATGTGAAGGTAAATACATTACAGTTTGCAACACCCAGTGATGAACATCACAGAACACGGATATGCAAGGGCAACCTTAGTAGTGTGCCCCTTTGTGAGTTTGCATTTTTGATCACCTTAATTGAGGCATTTCCTTGTTTGAGACTGAATGACTTTGCAGCATTAATAATTGTCTCTTAACTTGGATGGTTATGTATGCGCTCTCTCTCTCTCTCTCTCTCTCTGTATATATATTTATAATAATCTCTCACTCTTACCTTGCACTTTCCATCCGTAAATCTCAAAGCATTTTACAAAGGGGGTCATTCTCCCCATTTTACAGAGGGGAGAACTGAGGCACAGAGCGAGGAAATGACTTTGCCCAAGGATATTCAGCAGGCTAGTGACGGAACCAGGAATAGAGCCCCACTCTCAAGTCCCAGTCCAGTGCTCTACCACTAGGCCACACTGTCTCTAATCAACAGTGTTCTCTTTACCGTGCTACGTTATGGGGCCCTAGCAGCTCTGTGCTACACACCGAGGTCAATGAGCCCTGCACCTCACCTCTGGATCATGCTCCGGGTGTGCCAGATGCAGGGGAAGGACTCCTTCAGGATGGTCTGATAGTTGCGGTTGAGATCTCTCCCGGCCAGAGAGCAGCGATAGTTCCCCACAATCACCCCATCTGGATTGAGCATGGGCACCACCTTAAATATGAAGAGCTCACGGAGGAGCTGGGCGTCGGGGGAGTCGCTCAGGATGAAGTCCAGGAAACCCCTCATCACCCATGAGCCGTTGGTCTCCCCAGGGTGCACCCTGGCGCTCAGCACCACGGCCTTCTTGGCAGCAGTGGCAGCGGGGTTTTGGGATGGGCTGGTGATGGTGAGAAGGTAGACGGTGTTGCCAGCCAGACTGCTGCACAGGACCCGCAGCTTGCAGTACTGGGAGCGGACCGGGTCGCTGACCACTGCCAGCAGGTAGCGCTGCAGGTCCGAGAAGGTGTAGGGGTAAAAGTGGGCAAAGTAGCATGTGTCATGGTCATGGGGGAAGCATGCCGTCCACGTGAGACAATACATCGCCTGTCCCTCCTCGGAGCTGCACCGATAGTACCGGATGTTGCCCCCTCTCTCCGCCAGCCCACGCCATGTGTCTGCGCATCCCTCTGAGAGTACAGGAGTGGCTTCATCCCCATGCTGTAAAGGCTCTTGGGCTTCATCAGGTTGACAATGGAGAAGCGATAGGTGATGCCTTTCCTGGTGTTCCTGACTTGGAAGTAGAACCACTGGGTGTGCTTGTTGGTGTACAGGTCCATGCGCAGCGTCAACTCGTACTCGTACGGGCCTCTGCAAGGAGGAAAGAGAAAATGACACCTGGAGCAGTTTCTCCCTGTACACACATCTGTGTGAAGGACAGGAAAGGCCACAGGCAGACCTGCTCCATGC